GTGTAAGGTGATTTTTCCATAAAGAGGTACTAAAAACAGTTAATTTGAAATATTTTTTATTGAATTGCTATATTCAATAAATGAACCTAGGTAAGGTACATATCATAAATATACACATTTTGACCAATTTTGAGAGAAATTGGTCTAGAGATAAAAAGTTAAAGGGTGGTGGCCAGTCTTCAACCATGGCCGTTTATGGCATATTTCCCCTACATTAAAATTATTTCGCTTTTAGTGATTTTTTGTATAAAAAAAGATCGCCCTCGACTCAGCCTAATTTTTAGAAAACCTAAATAGAGTTAATATTTTTCTAGCTTGACCCAATATAAATTTGTTAATTATTATTTTTTATGGCACACTTTTTTGTGAATAGGTTAAAAGGAATTTATTGGTAAATAAAAAGTATCAATATTTTAAATTTTATCACTAATGTATTAGAATATGATATTTTTAATATCTAATAATTATATGAAAAATATCAATTATATATCTTACCACCTTAAGTTCTTCAACTTGAGGCAAAAGAGCATGAGAAGGCTCAATAATTATTAAATCGAATGCCATTTTTTTTATAAAATATAGTGAATAATTTATACCGTTGCAATCAAACTCTTCGGATTCACAATTAAATAAACCTCTGATGCCAGTAGTATCTAAAATTTGGACAAATATTTAATGAAAATGTTGTTATTTTATATCTTACCCTTGTCGGTATATTCTTTGATTGGCCGAGTTGCACTAACATGTTCAATATATTCTAAATCTAAACGATATTATTTAAGAAATATAAATTTTGGTAAATTTACCGCTGCTGTTACTATTTTCTTCTTCTTTAATATAAGTATTTAGATTTTTATATTCTCTAATATCTAACATTTTATGTAGAATAAATATAAACTTTGGTAAATTTACCGCTACTACTACTATATGAATCTTTTTCTTCTTTAATATAAGTATTTATATTATTATATTCTCTAATATCTAATATTTCATATAGAATAAATTTAATGAAATTATTTTATAGCTTACCTAATTCTGTAGGCTTTGTAAGGAGCAGAGAATTGCCAGGAATATGATCAATAATGGTTAAATCTAATATATTCTATTCATGAACAAATATTTGAGTAATTTTTACCATTGCTATCGATCGAGTCCTCCACATCAAAAGTATGGGCATATTTATCTTTTATAGAATCTAAAATTTAGACAAATAAATAGTGGAAACACAATGTTTATATCACCAATTCCAATTATCGAATTAGTACTAGCGGAATCGGAAGATGTGTTGTCTGGCAATTGATAAGGTAAATCAATCACCCACATATCTTATATTTTTAAAAATTATTCAATTTATGCATAAAATAAATCTTTAATACCATTATTAGATGTTGAAGGTTCGTTAGATTCGAAAAAAACTAAATAAAAAAAACTATATAAAAAAAATAGTAAAAAATAACATTATTTTTTACTATTGGCCTCCCTTGTGTGGGATAATATTATATCTTTAGAATATGAAGGAGATAAAAAATAAGTATAATCAATATAAAAAACAATACCATTATCAGAACATGATGTTAAATCCATTTCATTTGAACTAGATATTTTTTCTTGTTATCATCACGAGCATAAAATACCTGATAAGGTGTGCTCTTAATGATTCTACTATAATTGTTATTTATTTATGAAACAATTTTTGGAAGCTGGTGGGACCAGTCAGTTTTGTTAGTTTCCAGCATATGTGCAGATATGCGCGTTTCCAGAGTAGAATTTGCTCTTTCGATGCGCCCATTTGTCTCAGGATGCCTAGGCCTATGAATAATCATAATGAATGGAAACTCTGTTTTTATCATATCTGTAAATAAGTTATCTAAGAATAAAATTAATTAGATATTTATAAATAATAAATTACTTTTGAATTCTCTAGCATTATCACTTTGCAAAATTTTTGGTGGCCCGAATGGGTAGAATAAATTTCTTAAAATTTCGACAATTCCTTCTGCTTTTTTTGATGCTAGAGCACTAGCGCAGGTAAATTTGATAAAATGATCCTGGTGAAATATGTATTTATAGATCCCATCTGGGGTTGATGACATATCAATTAAATCAATTTCCACCCATCCCCAGAGCCTTTGGAAGATTTTTTTAATAGAAAATAGAGGACATTTTTTAATGTATTCAATTACGTATTTTTGATGAATAGCAGAATAAATAGTCTCTATATTTTTTATTGTTGTATTAACACCAGGATGATTATTGTCGTATGATGAACTTTTAATATTGATCGAATATTGGATATTATAATAATGGGGGGTTTTTTTTTACAAAATAAAGATTCGTTTTCTAAATAAAAATATGAAAATACTTTAAATTTTAATTTTGACGATATATTTTCAATAGATTTGTATTTAGGTGTTTTTAATATGGTTTTAAATAACTGATATTCCATTTCAATTTGGGGTAAAAATATTAGGCGCATATTGAAAAAATTTTAAAATTTTTGAAATTATTTAAAAAATAAAATTTTCAAAATATAATAATTTAAATTTTAACCATTCTCGTATCCTTTTATAATTTATTTATTATAACAAAAGGTCTTTAAAAAATAGAATTTTCTGGTGCCAGTAAGGCGACAAAAAAAGGAAGGAAAAAAATATAATTCAATTGTTTTTTTAAAAAAAGATTCCGAATCCCCATGGGGATTCCCAAAGTATATATTTATTCTACATGAAATGTTTGATATTAGAGAATATAAAAATTTAAATACTTATATATATTAGAAGATTCAAATAGTAACAGCAGCGGTAAATTTACCAAAATTTATATAACAACATTTCCATTAAGTATTTGTCCAAATTTTAAATATTACTGGCAGCAAATATCTCATTCTGTTCAGCTCTATTAGTTTTATAGTCGTTTTAAATTTGAAAAAGATATATCTAATACTTTTTTCAAAATGTTATTTTTTCTGAATTTTTTTTGGGAATGAGTGAACCCTACCCGGAGACCAGTGGCCCCTTCAACGGTGAGGGTCCGAAGCAACTGCTTCTAAAAATTTGAATGGGGGTTGATATAGGATTCGACCTCGTGATTCCGTATACATATTAAATTTAATAATAAATGGGGGTTCTTATTACATTTTAATAAATTTTGGTCGATGTTTAGCAAATTAGGTTGATTTCTTGTCATAAAATTATTTTACCAATTTCAAAATATGCTTAAAAATATTAACCAAAATGCTTATTTAATTATTGCACATGCATAATATATGAGATGATAAATTCTTACTACCTCATACACTGCCAAGACTTCTTAATATCATGAAAGATCCATTTTTTAATAATTTTAACCATTTTATCAATGAAAATTTTTTATCTAAACAATTAAATAATTATGATTAGAGATGGGCGCGGGCCGTGAAATTACACGGTGGGTCACGGCGTGAGTTATAATATATTTTAAATAAAATTTGCAATTTTATAAAAGAATTGTAAGCAAAACGTAACCATTATAATTTTTTACATACTGAACCGTAACCGTCCCTGCTTAAATGTTCAACGAAAATTGTGCTGACTTAATTTTATACTATTTACTTTTTTTAAAATCTCTTATTTTGAAAGTTTTAAAACCAAAAAATATTTTTAAAGCGTAAAAGTAATACATATTAAATATCTCTAAAAAATAAAATTTTACGGTGCCAGCCTGGCGATAATTAAATATAATTTAATTGTTTTTTAGAAAAAAGATTCCGAATCCCTTTAAATATTTTTTTTTGAAAATTTATTTTTCCGTAACCGAATATAATTATTTTTTGAAGGAGTAAAAAGAACCTTTAGAAAAAAGGGTTAAACCGGTTCAGTAAGTTTCTGTAGAAAGGCCTAAATTCAATTATTTTGAATCTTATGTATTTTTATATATGTCGTATTGGGATATGGAATCATAACCTCATCCCTTTTCATTCATTATATGCCTTAATTTTATACTATTTTTTTTTTTTAAATTCTCTTTTTAAATCCCTTATTTTGGCCTTCAAAAAAAGAGAAGAAAAAGTAATTAAATTATTTTATTTTTTTTCATGGGGATTCGGAATATTTTTTAAATATTTTTAAAAAATATATTTAAAAAAAAAGATATTTAAAAAAAAGATCCCGAATAAAACGTGGGGATCACGTAGGGACCGAATCCCACATGATTCCATATCCCAATACGACATATATATAAATTATATTAAAATAATTTGAGTGTTGGAATATAGATTAATATATTAAAATATTCTTAAGAATTATTGTATGTATATAAACTTGCATTCATGAACAATTATATTATGTATTATTTTTCCTGGAATCATTTCTTATTAGTGCATACCATATATTTTTGGGTATAAATGATTCCTTAAAATAAAATAAATGAAAGAAAGAAAGGATTATTGACAGAGCGCAGAATGTTAAAATTTTTAGTTCCGAGAATTTTTACAACCTTAATATCATTGAGGGGGGGGGGGAGCTGGTTATATAGGGTAAATTTTTTATTATCTCTGGTGATATTTACGAGAACAGGAAAATTTGTGAAGGGGGTGGGGTCAGGGTCTTTATTTTTGCTATTTAAGTGTTTACATATTTTTATTCATATTTTAATATATTTAAGAGTCATCATATTATAAATATTTTCGTTTTCTAAGTTAATATTTTATTTATTTATTGTAAAATGATCATTTTAATTTAGAAGGATATTAGACCAAGCAAAACATTAGCTATAAAATTATATGATATATTTTTTAATTTTTTAATGGTTCCTATCTGAAATTGAAATTTAAATAAATAAAAAAAGTCAAAATGAATAAAAAAATTTTATTTTTGATTACATAAATACAAGTTTAATGCTCTGTTATATTTGTTTATTTAACTTATTTTTATTCAAAGTTTAATTTAGTTTATATTTATATATGGAAAAAGAAAAATTGAATAGATGCCAAGAAAGACATATGCCACACACCTGTCACGCACATTATTTTTATATAGACACAGTATATTCCAGAATTCTAAATTTTTTCCTTCTATCTCAAAATTTAAATATTATGAATTCTTCCGCCACATTTTAAATAGTAATTTGCATAATTTATAAGTATAATATAATTTATTAGTATAATTTCTAATATACATATTGTGTCGTTTATAATATTATGTATTTAGATGATTTAATATATTAAATTTAGGTAAATTATTGTAGATATTTTTTAAGTAAATAGGAAATGTTTATATCAAGTTTTAACATTATTTTAGCCTAAGGAATTTATATAGATTTGCTAGATCAACATTTTGCAATGTAACAATATTTTACAATACTTAGTTGACCCATTACTTTAATATAAAATAAATTAACTTTATATTTTGATTTATAAAATATTATTGTGCTGACCATATTCACATATATTACTGTCTATTTAAGTTTCAAATTGCAATATAATAAAGGATCAAGATTTGATATTAATTAATTGCAAGAATTGATATAAAATTGATAAGTTCTATTTTTTATAAAAAACATATCTGACAAAGTGACTATACTTTAATATCCATTCTGATGGAAAATTGTAACTCCCAAAATTAGAAATATATTTATATTGAGATTGACTGATACCTTTAAAACCAAAACCACCAAAAATGATTATGACCATTAATTAAAAATGTCTATATTGAGCTATGAATGATATAAAAAAAATTAATATTATTAAAAATAATTTTCCAAGAGTTATTTTAAACAATTTTTAGAGCTATGATTTACCTTATATTCAATATTTACCTATTTTTTTTGTTTTTGACTATCTCACATTAATTATAAATTAATATATTTAGTATAATAATAAAATGTTATATACAATATACCTGCTTTTTTCAATAACTACATATAATCCACGAAATAAAAATCCTCAAATAAAATATTTAAAAATTTTGAGAAAATCAATTCCAGGAAATTATTATTGGGGATTTTTTTTCAAGGGAATTATTTTCCGCTTACCAGATATTTGCCCAAAATTGATTTAGTAACCATAATGGAAGTTTTCAGAGAATATCAGAAAATATTGGATCAGAATATTTTAATCACAATTTATGAATCAGTACAACCCAATAAATTTTTTTGGTGTCAATGGTTTTGGGACATGTGTTATTTATTAAAAGACATGTTATAGAAACTAGTGAACTTAATAGGGCCTAATTTTTTTCAAGCCTGACAATTTTTAAAAAAATTTGTTTTGCCCTACCTGATCCAGAACAATTTTTTTTTTATATGTCTGCCTAATCTGAATTTATTTAAATATAGAAAAAATAAAAAATATTAGCACCTTGTTTTTTTTTGTGAGAATTTTAAATATATTAACTTATTTGACAAAATGTAATATCATATTTAAAAATAGACCCACTGTTGGATGCAGACTAGGTCATTATTTGTAGATCTCTAATGGAAACATCTCTGGCCTAAATATTTATATTTTACATGGTTAGTCATTTCTTCATTTTGATCTGGATAAATATAAAAATAATAATTGCCATTATAAGAAGTTATTAATAATGATTAAATTTTGTTAAAAACCATTTTTAATATATCCTTAACTAACCAATTTCTCTAAAATCTTTAATTAACCCTAACCCATTTCTCTCTAACCTTAATCATACATACCTGAACTATAAATAGTTTATCCAATTAAAAAATTTCCTTGTGTTGCGTGTAGATTCCTTAAATTGGGTTTAAATAATATCAATATATTAAAAGGCATTTTAAGAATTGGTTATTTTCATAAAATCAATAAGGTCATAATCCTTTAAAAAATATTATAAAAATACTAATGAGGAACAATTATTTTTTATATAATCTAGTTCATTTTTATATTATAAAAAATAATTTTTTAATTTTAAAACATGCAAAAATAAACAGTTGGATAAGAATCAAAGGAAGTGCTCATTTCAGTTGCTGTATTTGTATAACAAAATGAACTCAGAGATATATTACTTGATAATGCTACTAGGAATAGGATTGTCTTTTTTTGGGATAAAGTTGAATTTTTGTCTAGATTTTATTTTAACCTTGTATTATATTTTTTAAAATCTCTGGCTTGAAAATCTGAGAAACCATTTCACTAATTCAAGCATACTGAGATGGTAAATTTTTATTTGAAAAATGATTTTCTTTTACGGTTAGCAATATTATGCTCTCGGCATATCTTCTAGATCCAAAAGAAATTGCAAACTGATTGAGAAATATTCAAGCAGATTTAAGATCTTTTCATAAAGATAAAATTGAAGCAGGAGATATTTTCAAATATTACAATATAGAGCAAAAACTGAAATATTTGCTAGCTCAAGCATATACAAGGACACACGTTGATGGTCCCCCTTTAAAATTTGGCACTCCATTTACTAATTATTTACCCAGTGGGCAATTCTGGTCTGTGATGGGGAATATTCAAGATGAATTGCTTAACTAATGACCAAGTTGACAAATTGGTTTTTATATATTTCATTGAAAGAATGTTCATGAATACTTGATTGACTATTATTTTGTTTTGTTAAACCATATTGTTTTTTAAAATTTTATTTAAATGAAAGTGAAAACTAATAAAATATGTATTTAATAAAAAATTTAAAATTTTTTTTATTTATTCCCCCCCCCCCCCAACGGTTTTTTCCCCTTTATCACACTACACTAGTTTTGTTAAACTGTCCGATTTGGGTCGATTTTTAAAAACGACCAGAATACAATTTTAGCCATAATAATATCGTGTAAACCTCGAGATTTTGCAAATAGATTTTGCCATTTACGAGCAAAATCTCCAAGCTCACATTATTTTAGCTAAAATCTTAATAGGGTTGTTTTTAAAAATTGGGCTGTTTAACAACACTACCACACTGCATAATAAATATTCGGCCATTAGTGTTTTTTTATATGCATTTTTTTTATAATTTTAAAAATAATTTATATTTATTAAGAATTCTACAAAAAGGAGCATGTTTAATGTATTTTCACGAAATATATACATCTAGTGTTACCCTGATTCGGGGGTCTAATTTAAAAAACTGCCGTATTAAGATTATAGCCATGGATAATATTAAGCCTCGAGATTTGGCAAATAGACCTTTCTGCCATCTATGAGCAAAATTTTTAGGCTTACATAATATTATTTTGGCTAAAATCTCAATCGGGCCCTTTTTTAAAAATCGACCCAAAAGATCTAATATCATACATTACAGATAACTGTTTTATTATAGATGACGGTATCTCTTATATATCCATTAGCTAATATAGGAAGGAATAGATATTACAGCGGCTATTTATTACTTACATTTTTAACAGGATAGTGAAGATTTGTTGGTGTAAAATATAATTGTTACCTGCCATTTGTTATTGATTGAATATTTTTTAACTCAACTTTCATATTTTGTTGGATTGTTCATGTATAAGAAAGGAATGTAAACCCGAACCCGGGTTTTAAAACTATTTAGCGGAAATTCGATAACAGGAACTTAATCGAAACCGCTTTTCTAAAAAAGGTCCGATCCCTATCCGGGTTCATTTTACCCCGGGTTCGATGGATTGTTCATAAATCGATTCTGTTTAATCTGTGGTCTCAAAATGACCAATTTCTGAACCCGGATTTGGGTTCACAACTTGGGGCCTATTTTTAAAAACGAATATGAATTGAATAGTTTATCTGGATTTAAATTAAACTTATATAACAATAAAGAATTTACCATATTTTTGAGATCCAGTGCCTTAATTAACTAACCCAAGGTAAGTATGATTTTATAACATTTAACAAAAGCAGTCACGTGTCATTTTAAAATTAAATTCTTGACAAAAATGGGTGGGGGGCATTAAAAATTTTACATAATTCTTTTTAATTTATTTATATGGGCACAGGGTCACGTTGAATATTAGACTCAAAGTAAATTTGGCAAATAAAACATAATAGGACTAAAAAATAGATTGTATTTACAGCTGTTTGAGAATGATATTTCCTAAATGATCAAATTTGCTTTGTCGGTCATTACGATCCATTTGCTGAATTATGGAAACCTTTTTTTTTATCAGATTTTATTAATCTTTATTCATAGCGAATAATCCCTTCAAAATTTTTCTTTGCTACAAAAAAAAATAAATATTTTTTGATTTATCGTCGGCCGGTGTTTTATTCTATCAAAACAATTTTTTTTATTAATATAAAAAGAATTAAAAAATTATAAAATTCAATCAATATTATATTTTGTTTGCCTTAGCAAAATGTCGGCCTTGCCCAATGATTTTTTTTTATTTGCAGATAATTTTGACATAAGGTGACGAGTGGATTCCGGCCCAGTCAGATCTTTTTTCTCTACCCGCGTGCCCGACTTTGTCAACCTTTAGTGACGAGAATACGCTTATAAAGCTCTATTTATTATTTTCAGAGATTTATTTATAATTCTAAAAAACAAAATCAGAAGAGAAACTTTTAAATATTCTTATAAAAGTAACTTTTGTTGGAACCATTTCCGGTTTTCGTATCAAATTTATCATTTTATTATTTCCTCATACAATCGTCACCTTTATTATTAGTCATGTTTATATCAATATTTTTTTTAGGGTTATTATTGCCACTAATTCAATTGGATCGTGTACTTATTTTTTAGGCCAGTCGGCAAATGATATATTGCGTTCGGGTCACCTTATTATAAATTTATACTAGACAGCGTTCAAATTTTATAAATATATACCCCCATATCTCTAAACTTTTAACCTTCCTTAACATTGTCCAAAAGGTTGGGGCTCGAAATCGGGTTGAAATAGCTGGTAGCTCTTTCTCATTTCAGATATTTAACCCTATAGTCAACAGCTGCGTCTTATAACATTTAAACGCATTATTAGCATTAGCCCCTGGAAGTCTATATTTTATCTAGGCGTGTCCAAAAAATAAAAATGCGAGTTGCGAATATGATGGTTTATAAAAAGATGTAAAAGTTTTGAATTTTTTAGCAAATAAAAGTAAACAAATAAACTAATTCCGAAGATATGCATAATGGAAGCATGAATTGGGGCGGCCATTTTTATCTCCCATTAATTAATAAAAAATATAATATACCATTAATTAAAGTTCTGCAGAGTCGGCGCGTCATCCGGATATCACAATTTAAAAAAAATAAAAAATGGAAAAATACGTTAAAGAAAAAATAGGGAATAAAATAAATTTACAGTAGTAAAACTTGTCATATTTGGGCTTTTGATAATTCAGCGCTCAAATTAAACAGGTTTAACTGTCTTTTGAGTTTGGGATTTTAAAAAAATTCTGTTATCACGAGACGGAATTTTAAAATATACGCGTTCAAAAAAAAATGCGCGTCTAAATAAATGGTTGAAAAAACTAACCCATTTGTCGTTATATAATACTATGTATTATGTTTATTCATTTTATTAAAATAATTGAATTAAAAAAAACATATAACATAGGTGACGAATTAAATGAGTCATACTAATTTACCTACTTCCTCTCAGTATTACACCGAAAACCTAAGAAATTTAATAGATGAGCGGAGACGTTTTTCCAGCGAGAATTCTCAAAACTTCCCTTCTCAATCGCCTCCCCCACTAATGAGACCCATACGAGGTTCTGGCGGGCTTAAACAGGTTTTTCAATAATTTGTCTTTATATTGATAAATTTTCCATAAAATTTTCTCAAATTCTGATTGCTAAATTTGTGTATAAAAATTCTTTTGGATAAATACCAGACCTATTTAGGAATTAAGGTCACTAACTATCTCTTGTAATTGATCGTAAAGATTATCTTTTATTGTATGAATAACATATGCATATATAATGTATCTATATCTATATGTATAAAATATATTATTCATACAATAAAAGATAATCTTTATAATCTTTACGATCAATTACAAGAGATAGTTAGTACATTTGGTCCCGGCACAAGAGAATGATGAGATATTTTTTTAAAAATTTTCCTTAAAATAATTGTTTGGGATATATTATGTGTCGAGTTTCAATGAGAGGATTGTATACAAAATTGATTTTCTCTAACTTACAAATACATTATAACAAACTAGCCAAAAATAACAATATTATTATTTTAATTTTAAATCCTTTTCTCTTGATTATTAATGTTAAAATATAGGCTGTGGGCAATTTTGACTCTAATGGCGTACCTTTACTCTCCCCTCTCCAGTACCCTGAGTTGCAACAACATAATACGCTATACAACAATCAAGCAATTAATTCTAACCCTGAAATGCAGCAGCTGCAAAAGTCGCGATTTATTCCCCAAACGAATTCTCATCCGGAGTTGCAACAGCAACTTAATTCGCAATTCAATCCCCAATCGACAAATTCTCACCCAGAACTGCAACAGCAAAATTTTCGATTCAATCAACAACCAGCGATTGGCTCTAATCAGGAGCAGCAACAGCATAATTTTCAATTTAACCAACAACAACCAGTGAATAGTTTCATTCCGAATCAACGCAATAGCGGCGATTGGAATCGCCAGGAGTTAGAGACTAACGCTTTCATAAATGGCGCTAGACAGTCGGCCGCTTTCACTTCCGCCCGCATTAATCCCAATCTTAAGCCTGAATCTGGCTTTAATCTGAATAACAGTAATTCTGGCCTTCCCAGAGACAACATGTATAATACATTTTTAAATAAAATGGATGATGGCAATAACAACCCAGCAGAAGCGAGAAGGCGGGTGCCATCATTTGGAAACTCGAGTCAATCCGCTTTCGGTGAGAGGGACGAGGATTCCGACCCGGCAAAATTCAAGGCCGACAACTCCTTCCTGACTAAGCTGTTAAGGAACCAACTGCAAAACCCTAACAAAAAGTTTTATTTTCTCCCACTTTCAATTATATTTATATTACGGGCTTAATTCCATTTAAAAAAGATGTATTAAAATGTTTACATTCATTTATTCACACTATAAGAGTTTAAGTAACTAAATTTAAAAAACAATAAAGTTCCTCGACAAGATTATGAATAACAAAATATGTAAACGTTCATTTTAGGTTATGCCAATAAATATAAAAAATAACCACAAATTTTCTCTGATCCCATATTACTATAAAACCGATCTGATATTTATGTTGATTTTTATTTTATTTTTGTACCAATGTCGTAATAGAATCAATATTTTCTAGTGCTATAGACGTTAATTCAAAAAAAAACTCGTTACTAATTATATCAAAAAGGAAACGCGTTACTGTACCTTGTGAAGAAAGGAACGCGTTACCGTACCTTGTGAAAAAAGGAACGCGCGTTACCTCTTATTTAGACCAAAATTTCCTATATATGTTTTTAATAAAATTATGCAAAAATAATATATTATAAGATGAGATCTTTTTATAATAATTTTTTCCCATATATATAATATAAATAAAATTATACAATAATAAATTTTATTTATTTTTAACAACAATTGATTTTCAAGATTTTGATCAGATAAACAAGAGAGTACTCAACACATCTTTCGCCGTGCTAAATACACGTTCAATTAACGTAGAGGAGAGTTATATTTAATAATAAAAATTGGAGGAATTTATAAAAATGATAATCCTTATTTTGAAAAACTTAATAGATCATTGATAAAAAAAAGTCTTCATTCAGATCCTCATTTTTTTTTGTCAGAAAATAATCTGGTATGTGTGTTGTTTACTAAAGGAATCAGTCTTCCTTTTCTTTGTCAAAATATTTTCCCAAACTGGAAATAGGTCCAAGCCTTCTACCTTTGTTGGCCTATAATTTTGAGCTAATCTAATTTAAGTAGCGGGTGAATTATTGCTGATAGTATATTTTCATCTTTATAGATATGTTCGAATCTATTGAAAATAAATATAATCAAAATATAAATTGTAAATAATATCAACTATATACCTTTTATCTATGTCTTGCAGGATTGCATTAATAACTGGCTTACAAAACTTGAAATTATTTAAAGCAATTTTTTAAAGTTTTAATGTTATAAAAGTTATCGTGGAGATATCCTAAATGTTTTAAAATCGAAAATGTCGTAGCAACAGGTTCCATAACATATAAAATTATATATACATATATTTTTTAATTAACACTAATCATACAATATGTATATGAACGACTTCTCATTATCTAAAAATCTCTGCAATTCGGATTTATCACAAGATTCGTCAATTTGGTCATTCTCCTTAATAAGTTAATTAATTTCACAGAGTTATAAAAAGAGTTCCATCTTGTTATAACCGGTTTAATCAGATATTTTTCCATTTTTACCTTAAAAATGGCTTCACAGTTTCGAGACTCTCCATGTTATTTCATAATTAAGAAATATTTGAGTTAGAAAACAATCTTATGTAGACCTTGTACCCTTAATTTTTTTTATTGTGTTAAAAATGTTTTATATCGGAGCCATTTCAGGTTAAATCAACTTCATCTGAAGGATTATATACAATTGACATAATATTCTTTATAAAATAGATTATAATATTAGAGAATAAGAATATAAATCAACATATCTTGATTGATTCAATATTAATTAGATTAACAATCTTGACTGAAAATTTAAAATAAAAATGAAGGAATTTGGTGGTTAATGTGACTTAAAAACTCGGCTTAAATTATAATAATTTTATAATACAATAAAATATGTCTTTTCCATATTTTTTAATTTAAAGTAACGTTTTGCGTTATCGTTACTCAAAAAAAAATAAACGCTTTACCGTTATACGTTACCTTTAAAAGAAGGGAAAGGTAACGACGTTACTTTTGGCGTTACTTTACGGCACTATATTTTATAATAAAATAACTGACTAATTTTCACGAATAAGTGCCTCCAAGTTGATCATCTCATTTAATATATGGGCAAAGTTTATAGCTGAATGAGTGTTGCTATAAGGCTCTGTTTAGCCGATTTTAAAAAGCGGTTGAAAGCCGGAATAATATGGCCTAAAGTCTCGAAATTTCGCCAATAGATATCCAAACCTTTCTGTCATCTGTGAGCGAAATCTCAGAACATAGGTAATTTTATTTCGGCTAGAATCTTGAGTTAGTCTTTTTCAAAAAGCGGCGAAATCTCGTTTAACTGCACAAGCTGATCGTGACTCGTTTGATCAACCCATTTTTCTTTTCAGATATAATGTAACAAAAAATAATAACAAATTTTTAGCTACATAATCTTTTTAAAATAATTCGATTTTTTAATTTTGATTTCCTTTTATTTTATTATATTATTATGTATAAAATAAAAAATAATATAATTATATATACAATACATCATAAAATAACCAAAAAGAATAAAAATTCGGTTCTACCCCTATCGGATCCGATATTGAATGATCAGCACATCCCCATTATAATGTAAGTATTAGAGATCTGCAAATGGCGAAATTTCAAGCCCAGCCCGGCCAAATCGATACTTGTTCTGAGCCATTTCCATTTTTTTGTTAAGAGGCATTGTAGACCTCTAATAAGTATTATAATAAGAATTTGGGAACCGGCATAAATCTAGGAATCGATACCACCCTCGGAACAGTGTTAAAATGTATAGGAACTAGAACCCTTTTTAACTTAGATTTATACACTAATTACTATATATGCTTTTCATAGTGTCGAAGTTCTCAGGGCCGACGTTCATCACCCTCTCCACTCGGTGTACAGTTTCGAAGCTCTTGACCTATCTCCAGAACTCCTGCGTGGCGTATACGCCATGAATTTTTCGAAACCTTCAAAGATTCAGGAGATGGCGCTGCCCTTGATCCTTTCCGACCCCAAGGTTTGTGCGCCGCGTCATATATAGCATAAAAATTCTATTTTTCGGGTTGTGTGTCTCTTTTTTAAAAATTTAGGGGCACCGATCATTACTACTTTTTATTGGCCAATACTGAGGGGGGTTCGATGCTCACCTTTTTATTTCTCTAGATTTCCTAAGTATTATTTGTTACGATAAAAGTAGTAATAGTATATGAATTTATTTAAATGATATTAATTAGAATAAATGAAGAAAATACTTAGATACTATAGGCTGTATCCTAAATATAAAAAATATAATTAAATAAATAAGTTAATTTTAATGATAAAAAACATAAACTATTTTCAATAAATATTAAATGTTGGTCTAAATCATTTTTTTAGAATTTACAAAAATTTGATTTTTTAAAAATTATAGAAATTAATAAAATTTAATTAATTTTAATTTGAAATTTATAAACTTGTTGAATTTTTACGAATAAAAAAAAGCATGTAATATTAATTTATATTTTTCAAATTTGCTGTCGCATGTAATGTAGTATTTACGTTCAGTCGTAATTTAAAATATTATTATATAATATTTTAATTTACAAAACTTTAAAAAAATTATAATGGAAGATTTTGGTAATGTTACTTAATTTTATTAACCTACGATAATTTATAAATTTTGGGGTTTTTTTTTAAAATATATTTAGAACACAGCCATAAAAAAGAATTTTTTTAAAAAAAAATTAAATTAAAATATATACTATTTTTTTATAAAGAATAATCTTCTATATGAGCTATTAATGTTCCCGTTAGCACCAAATGATGGCCTATTAGTGTTATTAAACGGCTTTATTTGACCCGATTTTTAAAGACGGCTAATTCGATATATTATCCACAAAAATATTAGTCCGGAGGATTTTGCTGATAGATGGCCTAATCTGGACATTTGCAAAATCTCATGGTTTAAGGCAATATTTTTCCGGCTAAAATATTGAGTTAGCCGGTTCTAAATCAACTCGAGCCGTTTAACAACACTAGTACTGATACCAAGTTTGTTATTTTTATAAATGAAACATAATGAAAAGAAAAAGATAATTTTTTTTGATTTAAATATAAAACACATTTGCCATTTGAATTCTCACCATGAAGCTCTTGGTAGTCATAACCTTATTTTCTTTATAATACGCTTAATTTCGGCTAACGTTGTAAAACGGCTAACCCAATATTTTAGCCAAAAAATATTTCGTAAGCCTGTAGATTTTGCTCATATTGTCATCTAGTAACGTAATCTCGAGGCTTGCATAAAATTATTAATTTTAATAAAAAATGAATCGAGCCGTTTCAACACTTAATTCCGGCAAAATAATAAGAATAAAAGACATAAGGTTAGAATTAACAACGCTTTCTTTATCATTAAATATATCGTGGGTTATCATTTTTGAAAGAAAAATATTAGGCATTCAAAAAGGAACTAATAATAAATATACGAGAAAAGAAATAATATCATATCATTAGAATTGAATGAGAATTTAATTAAATAATATAAAGGAAACTTAGTGATTCCACATAGGACCTAATTTTCAAGCCCAGCCGAAATTTAAAAAAAAAATTTGTCCCGAAAAGCCCGATCCGAAATAAAAAATAAGAATTATTTGTCGTCCCAGCCCTAATTTATTTAAATATAGAAAAATGTAATTTTTTTTTTGATTGTATGAAAAATATTTTTAGCTCCTTGTTTCTTGTAAGAATTTTAAAATATATCAATTTATTTGACAAACTGTAGTGATTATCATATTAAAAATAAGCCCGACCCAAATTTTTTTGTAAAAACTATTAGGCCAGACTCAGCCCGAACAGAAATAATTTTTTAAAATATCAGCCCTTTCGGCCGGGTACGGGGCAGGCCGTGATTTGCAGATCTCTGAATACGTCTTAAGGTTTTACTTACAAAATGAAACCTAACAACCCCCAAAAAACATAATAAAGTTAAAAAGGTTGGTCTAAATAATAAGGGGAAAATATCTGGAATCGGCATTTAGGAGTTGGTTCCAACTATCATATGTAATCAAAAAATGAATCAAATGCTGTTTTTAAATGCCAGTCCGATCCTTTTCCGGACTGGACCATTGATCTCCGCAACTATCATGCATCCCTAAACCCCTATCAAAAGTTTTGTCGCTTTAGTGCCTTTTGAGTACATATCGTTTATTGGATTAAACAGCTTATAAAAGTTTTTGATCTTCCTTTTTTTGAAATTATTAGACTGGATAAATGTTAAATATCAGTAATCAAAATATATAAAAATACTAATACAAGGTTAACCTCATAGCTCAGAGCCAAAGTGGAACTGGCAAAACTGCCGCCTACTCCTTAGGAGTTTTGAGTAAACTTAACCTAAATACTTCAAATCCGCCTTCCAATATATCCGCCCAAGCCCTCATACTAGCCCCAACTTACGAATTGGCCCTTCAGATAGGCGAGGCGGTTAAGCAAATAGGTCGCTATATGCCGGGACTTAAGGTGGCTTACGCTGTTAAGAAAAAGCGAGCCGAACTTGGATATAGTAATACTAGTAATCCCTTTGATATGAGTAATACGGCTGGCGGTGATGGACTAAATTCTAATTTCAACAAACACGATGTGCCCGGTTACACCGAAAATTTGGACGATTACGAAATTGTTTACCCTCGGGGAAAATTGGTACAGGCCCACGTTGTTGTCGGCACTCCTGGATCTGTAGTGGATTGGATCAGGTTTTTTTTCAATTAAAAACATTCGCCTACTTTTATAAAATGACAATTTTTGTTTATTTATTTAGACCTTCTCAAAATACACCCCCCCCCCCCCCATGAACATCATTTTTATTTACACTTATTGATTACAACAAATTATATTCTTTTTATATTAGATTCGGTATGATAGATGCTAAGGCTATAAGCATCTTCGTTCTTGACGAGGCCGATGTTATGATAGACCAGCAAGGCCATAGGGCGGCCAGCGTTAGAATTCACAAGTTTGTAATTTATGATTTGTGGGACCCACGTGGTCTTTAAAAAAAATTGGCATTGTTCCCGGCTCCTCGATTTTATTTCATAATTAAGTTTAAGGAAATTTATTTCATAATTATTTTTTTAAAGATAAATAAATGTAAGAGTACTAGGGCTGTGCCGATCCACAAATTATTAAATTTTTCCACCAATCCCATATTTTCCGATGATCACCCAAAACTGATTACAAAACTTTGTATTGGTTACTGGATCAATTTTGAGCGAATATTGGGTCGGATGGATGGATCCCCACCTCTATAAAGGGAACTATTTTATTACCAGGTACCTCGATAAGCAGAACTGCCAGTTCCTTCTCTTTTCGGCCACTTACGAGGAGAACGAGGTCATGAGTTTCGCATCTGAACTCGTCCCAGAACCTTCTGTGGTACTCAGGCTCAAGCGTGAAGAAGAAACGCTCGATAACATTGCTCAATACTATGTGCCATGCTTAGGATCGGATGCTGCTTATTTGAACCGTAAAAAAGAGTTCATATATTAAATATGCTATAATTTACAGCTGCTTACAATTATGGCTCATATAAATGGATATCTTTGTTAAACCCAAGGCTTATTCCTAGATAGTCCTAATTTTTGGGCATTTCAGACAAGCATCTAGAACACTTTTTTTGGGGTTTTATTTAAATATCTATAAATTTTGAAATAGATGATAGTGTAGAAAAGTCCTGAATCAATAAAATATATACTTATCCGACTGAACAATATTGATGTTATTATTTCCTTCCTAATATTCCCTTTTAAAAAAATAAGGAAGTGAGAAATATTTACTATTTTTCTTAAAAATAGGCAAAACATTCAGAGTTTGGAAGAAAAAAATCTTCATACTTTGAAGATTTGAAGATTTTTTTTGCCCAAAATTATGAACAAAAAAATCTCTGATCACAAAATTGAAAAGTTTTTTTTTAAATAAAAAAAAATGGTTGAATTTCGAAAGATTTTTTTACAGTTATTGCTTGAATATTAAAATTTACTGAATAACCTTAAAATATGGAGAATAATTAATATTTTGAGTTTTTAAATGGGCTGCTGACCTGGGTTTGAAGTGAGCTGATATTGAAGATCTCTAATTCAGACAACTGTTTAGTATTATAAAAAGATAGAAAAAGAGTGGGAAACGGTTTAACTGATTACCTTTACCTTTATTTGCATCTTTTGCCTACCGTTCGTTGAAATTAGTACAATATTTTTTTTGCCTCTAAAGTGAATGTCACTCGCTTTATATTTAGTTCCCTATAGAACAAAATTTCTTTTTTAATGCCCCTTTATCACAAAAACAACCCTCCCCTCCTCTGCCTTACACTTTTCCTTTATATAAGAGCTATGCCCTTATTAAATATTAGGGCTTTGTCGATCCACAAAATTATCTCAGATATTTTCGATGCTACTACATAACCGATCCAATAGCGATAAAAATTTATTTTATTTGCCATTTTGATGCCATACTATTTAAGAAAAAAAAACGTTCACAAATTGTTATGTGTATTTAGTTTTATTTTTATTATTCTCAAAAAGTTAATAATTACAGTTTAAAATATGTGCAAATGGCTGAACATTTAGCTTATTTTTAAAAATGACTATCAAGATTTTAGCCAAAACACTATTACCTAAGCCTCGAAATTCTGACAATAAATGTCTAAACCTTTCTGCCAACTTTGGACAAAATCTCTAAGCTCGGATAGCTTACTCTTGGCCAAGATCTTGAGTTAGTCATTTAAAACACTAGCTTAATCTGACTCGTTAGATATTTAAAAATTATTTTCTTGTTGCAGATTTAACGGAAAAAAATATTAAATCTTTTAGCTTATTATGTTATTTCTAAGGTATTAATTAGGAACAGTAAGATAATTATTAGGGGCGTACCGATATCACTTTTTGGAGGCTGATCCGATATCATATCTGATTTTGTATTCTGTAAATATACTAATCGTTTAATATTTAATGTATATATCTAGTTTTTTAAAATCGCTACAATTTAGCCTATTAACTAGTATTTTATCCAGAAAAATATTACACAAGCCTGAAGATTTTGCTTATAGATGGCACAAAGTTTTGGACATCTATTAAATAAATCTCTAATCATTGGCAATGTTTTTTTATGACTAAAAGTATTGAGTTAGCCGTTTTTAAATATCGACTCAAATAGCTCGATTTTACATTACAACATGCATCTACTCATCTCACGTACTTTTTAATAGTATAAAATCTATAATTTAAATATACCAAATATAAAATATTTTTATTGATAAATCACTGATTTTATATAATAATATTAAACTATTTACATAAATAAAGAAATATATTATGAAGTTTGAAAAATTTTTTTTAAATGAAGACGCCATTTTTATTATATCGGTCGATAACCATATTTTGAAAATTTGGGATATTGACATTTTTTTTTACTATTTTTATCTATAATTTTATGTGATAGCACATTAAAATGTTGTTTAATATTTTGTGTTCTCATAATGTTAGTTTCTTTCCGGGAAAACCCTGTTAATAAAAGTGCCAGATTAGATACTTAATAATATGACTAATATAATTTCAATCATTTAATGGTTATATTTGCATGTCTTTAATTTTATAACACCTAGCTCGTGATCGAATGAATCGGGAAACGATTTTTGCCGCGAAGATGAATGCTCTTTGCCTTATATACTCGTCTTTTCCTGTTGGCCAATGTGTCGTTTTTTGTGAAAGCAAACGTGAGGCAGTTATGATAGCCAGAGCCCTTGTGGAGGACTGTGGCCATGGCGCTGTAGCACTTTTAACATCTGATCTTACCGTCGATCAGAGGGCTGCTGTCATTCGCAGGTTCAAATCTGGCGAGGATGAAAGGTCAATAATTTTATAAAATCTTATATTTATTTTATTTTAACATTGGTAAATTTATAAATAATAAATGTCATTTTATGGTTGTCTACTAATACATAAATGTTATATAACTTGTGTAGTAAATTAAGAATGATTATAAATATATTTAATTTAAAGTATCTCGCGATAGTAGTAGAAATATGATTTTAAAATGATGGTTTCAAAGATGCATTGTGCCCCTCAATGAATAAAAAATTTACAACCCTAGACCAGACCACAAAAACACCAGATGTTAAATAGCCATTGTTGACCATTAAGCCTGATGTCTCTAAAATTTAATTTTTTATATAATAAACAGGGTACTCGTAGCCACGAACGTCTTAGCACGGGGTATAGATATCGAATCGGTCAGCCTTGTCATAAATTTTGGAGTCCCCAGGAAATTCGTAGAAAATCCCAATAGCGAAACCGGAGCACCCGGGACGAATAACTTCGGGGATAATTCGTTTTACGCCACCAAAGCTAAGGGCATACCTACTAGTGATCCCGATTATGAAACGTATTTGCACCGGATAGGTTACCTTTCGCACTTGATTTTTACGCCATAAACCTATATTTTAGAAAGATAACACATTACCTAGTGTTGTTAAAAAGCCCGATTCGGACCATTAAAATCGACCCAAATCGGGGGTTTTAAACAACATTTATTATGACTCGTTAATTTTTTTTATATTAACGATACTATCACTAGTTACTGTTATTAAATGGCTCGATTTTTAAAAACGGTTAACCCAATATTTTGGTCAAGAAATATTATACATGCCTCTGGATTTCTTAAATAGATGTCCAAACCTTTCTATCATCTACGAACAAAATATCAAGGCTTGCATAATATTTTTTGGCTAAAATATTGGGTTAGTCTTTAAAAATAGAGCCATTTAAAAAATCACCATCTCTATTTCGATCTAATTTCCACGAAGGTGATTTTAAAAAAAAATCTCATACAAACTGGTTAAGCACAATAGAAGTTGAAAATTATTTATTAAATGCTAAGTGGGGAGCCTCTGAGAATAAAATTATATTGTCCTAACTTAATTTTGTATTTATATATCCTTTTTTAAAATTGGTCTTTCATTTGGGAGATGAATAAAATAATTGTTTATTACGAAAATAGAATGAAAAAATATTAGCATTTGGAGTATTTTTTGTCCTTTGGAACAAACAGTATTTTAAGTGAGCCAAAAAGGTTTTCCTGATATTTTTTGCCTTGAATGATATTTATTTTTCTCGAGGACAGTTAGGGGGCTTTTTTCCACTATTTTTTTTATATGATCCAATTTACATAATTTTGACTTGTTACTTAATATTATACTTGGAGAAATACACAAACATCCATTTACACCACTTTTTTGCCGACATTGACACCCACCGATACCAATATGGTATCTGAAAAAAAAGATATAGAGGGTGGGGAAACGCATTTCATAACTATTTGGAAATTTGTAATCCATATCAATAATCGATATTTTATAACATTTACTACCACACCCTTGATTGGTTAATTTTTTTTATCAATGGCCGGTTCAAAAACTTTGTTTTTTTTAATTTAGGTCGCACAGGGAGGTTTGGTAGAAATGGTTTGAGCTTTATTCTCATCGACACCGATTCGGAAAGCAGCGAAGAATATCATATGGTCAAAGCTTTGGAAAACTTTTACAAGAGAACGATCACAAAATGTGATCCGAACAATCTTGAAGGTGACGTTGAAAAACTTTGATTAAAATCCATTGACAATCTCAAAAACATCTTTTTTTATATTTTACACCAAATAACCCATTATATTTTTTTCCTATCCACTTTTTAATAGATATTCAGTTCTATTCTCGGCCCGGGTATGTTTGGCTCAACATAGTCCAGTTTTACTGAATTTTGTATCTGGGCCTGCAATATTGTTAGTTATTAACATCTTCGCTCTTATTAAAAGATTATCATATTTTAGAATATATTTTATTTACCCGGTGGTTATAGTTGGGACCAATAGCTTTGTCATTTATATTTTATAATAAGTTTCACTTTTTAAAGATACAAAAATATATGTATAAATTTAAAGTTATAAAAAATTCTACAAAGGAATCTTTATTTTCCGTTTTCAATTATTTTGTTATATTAGAAAGTTAAATATTATTTGTAAATTTATATTCATTACTCTAGATTTAATGTTTTCATATATTCACCACCATATACCCACAATAAACTAATCAAACTTTCTTAGATATTCATTCTTATTGAAACAAATTTTTAATTTTATTATATTTAACTAGTTCTGTAAACATTTCTATAAAAACTGAACGCGTTGTTCAAATTCATTCGAATAAATTTTATTTTAAAATTAAATATATTAGCCATATTTAAAATTATTAGTTTTAATTGTTTTATATATTAAAAAATTTTTTTTATTAATTTTTAATATATAAAATTTTTATATATCATAAAATTTAATTATTTATAAAATATATAAATTCATATTACTTTAAATAGTCTTCATCTATTAAAATATGAAAGCCTTGATAAAAATTTAAAAATAATAACGAAATTTCAAATAATCATGCTAAAAATAAATAAATTCTATAAGATATTAACTATTTTATATCTATGTATATAATATTTAATGATTTTTGCTTTTTATATCTATTATAATAATCCATAATTAATAATGAAATACATTTGATAAAAATATCGAGGGCCGCTTTCGAAGGAGAGTAGTAATTTCGAACCCAATTTTTCATTTATAAGAGCAAAATCATGAGGGGTTCCGTTTAGGTTCAGATAGAAAATCATTTAACAGTTCAGATTAGATAAAAATACGGATAATGCCGGTTTAAAGGTCCGGTTCAGGTTCGGTTTGGATCCCTGAAATGCTGCTATCGGATAACTTTGTATCTAAATTGTACGCGATTATTTATTTGTCCCAATAATAAAACACTTATCTTTCGCGTCCCGCGTCCTTATGGGCGCCATGGCATGGCGGTGCTAAAATAAATTATTAACAGGATACTTAAAGTTATAAATATTACATAAAAAATAAATATTATAATCAAGTATCTCTTTAAATTAGAACTTGAAGATTTTGAAACTGATATTATACTTTTTGGACGCATTTTACATTTGGTAAAGATATAATTGATTTATTGAATATGATGTTACTATAAATTATTATACTTGGGCCATGGTAATGTTAATCATCTGATTCTAAATGATAATAAAAACAACATCCATGATTATGCTAATATCAGAATAAAATTCTGGCTGATTAAAAAATTCAAATGTGTTAAAGGATACACAGCAGATTAAAAAATAACCTTTTTTCCTTAAAAAATTAGGACATTAAATTAATTTTTTTATTTTCAGTGATAAGAAGATTTTATAAAATTGAACGATGGTTAAAATCGAACACGTTCGTCATAAAAAACGAACGCGTTCAAAGTTCGTCGAAAATAAATGGAACATTGTTCATTATTTTTTCCAAAAAAACCAACTTCGTTCACGAACGCAGTCAATTTAAACGCGTTCCTTTACAACATTATATTTAACTCAATGATACATATAACAATTAGATTAGTGTTTTAATTTTTAAAGGTGCCTATAGCGATCACTATTATATCATTTCTGTGAATCCTTTCTCTTGCCTACCCTTTGGAATTAGACCTTGCATTGAAGAGTGTTAAAAAAATAACGTATAAAGTTATAATATATAAAATTAAGAATATTTGTAATATTTTTTTTACTAAATTTGATATATCTGCATAGTATTAATTGTCTTACACAAGTCTATATTAATGAGGTAGGAGGGGGGGGGGGGGGGTTGTACAATTTTCTTCCTATTTTTTAATGGAATTAGGGTAGAATAAATTTATTGGAGAGTAATCAATCTATTAGTGCTGGTAAAAATATTCCTGACCCCCAAGGCTTATTACTTGAATCGAGTTAGCCGCTAAGTGTGCTATATTTAAAATTTCTTTATCATATAAGCTTCTCAATATTGTGATTGGTTATTTATTAATATCAGGGTTTCAAACCCGGCAAAATTTTTGTTGGGTTCGGTTTAAGGAATAAAAAAAATAGGTGAGTTCGGTTCAGGGAAATATTTTTGATTTCGGGTTCAGCTCGGGTTTAAAAATTTTTGAACTGATAAAAAAAAATTCTATATTATTTATAGATAAAATATATTTAAAAATGCAATCAATCATTTATCAATTTAAAAAATTTTATTTAGACTTATTTCTTTAAAGTGACAATATCCAATATAATGATTTTTACTTTGATTTGTTCGCTTTTATTTTCCTCTAATTAATAATCTGAGAATTAGCTAAAAATTAAAAATAAATGGCCTAAATGAATTTAATTTTATAAAATTTATTAACATTCCAAACGAAATCTTTGAGAATAAATTAAAAAAATTTAGACGTGAATTAAATAGTTAAAATTTATTAACACTTCACTTAAATGGAAATTTGAAAATATTATAAAATCTCAATTAAATTATTAATGATATTATTTATAATTATACAAATATCTTAATATATGATTTTAAACAATACACTGCCCGGTTGAACCCGGGTTCAAATAAAACTCCCAGGTTCGGTTCTGGGTTTTGGAAATTTTACAAACAGGGTTCGGTTCGGGTTCAGATTTTTTTTCAAAAACCCGGGTTTTCTTTGGGTTCGGTTCGAATACCTTATTAATATGATTATTGTTATCAAAAGTTTCTCACTAAAAAAATCAATAAATATAATTGAATTCAGAATTTAAAATTCTGTATTGGTGTCACCAATCCAGTTATCTTAATTTTTTTAGAAAGATACGAATATAAAGTGAGAGTGTTCGAGTATCAGCCACCTGAATACTCGAATTGGATTAAAATATGGATCGGTCAATGCTAGCTGTAGCTTCAATTCTTTTTTCCATAATACATATAAAGTTGAAATGGACTTTTAAGTTACAGCTGTGTCCTATTATTTATAATTATAATCTTCTTCAAGAACCGTTATACCATGCTGTCCTAAAATCATATGTATTTAGGTGAATTACTAGGTGTTAACACCAAATTTTTATATATTGCTTGTTATATACATTTTTGGTAATATATATTATTATAAAAATTTATTTTTAGAATTTCCTAAAAATATGTAAATTGCAAAATATATTTTCAAATTTCAAACTTTATTAGTATTATTTTCATCCCTATATACTTTAACCCAATGATATTTTGATTATATTACTTAATTTCATTATTAACAAATTTTAGATATAAAATTGTTAAATTTTAAAAAAAATATTATTATTATTGAGGTATTTGATCAACGTACAAGCTACAAAATGGCGCTACAGCTGATTTCAATGTGTGGACTTTTTTTATGCTTAATCGCCAATCTATAGTTATATATATCATTGCTTTAACTGAAACAGTAGTTTTATGTAAGCAATCAGGCGGTGAGCTACTAAACCAATTATGGAATTTAAATGTACTAATTAACACTAAATAATAAACATGGATGTTGGTACTATAGTTATTATTTTGGTGTGCCGTAATTTTATTGTGATTTATTTTTTTATTTCGTTAATAATTTTTTTTAATTTAACTAATTGAAGCACTAACCTCTACTAGCCAAGCACTAAAGAATGATATATGATTATTAGTGCTTCCAAAGGGTTGCTGGCCAGACCTAATGCCTTTTATTTAGCATATAACTGTTTTTATATTAGGCGATTAATCGATTAATAAAGAAATTTAAATATATAAATCAAGCACTAAATATTGGCTAAACCAAAATGTTTGTCGTAACTCTTTTTGTTTTAGTAAGCCACCTATTTGCTTAATTAATAACTTTTTTATTTTAATTGACGCTACTAAATGCCACTTATTATAAATTCAACAAAATTAGGCACATTGCTCGAGTCTGTAGAAAAGAAATAGTGAATTTTAGTAATAATACAATAAATGAATATAATCCAGAATTTTGGGTGGATATCAAAATAAACATGATATCAAAATGGAATTTGATACTGGAGCTAGGGCAAGCACGATAAACGAAATAGATTGGAAAAATAAGCTTAATAGTCCTGGATTAATAAATTACATGCTAAAACTTAAAAGCTATACAGGTACTAATATACCACTATTAGGTCAGACTATAGTAAAAGTATAATATAGAGGGCGAAAATTAGAACTACCTCTCATTATTACAAAAAGATATGCACAAAATCTAATATTTGGATTGGAAGGGATGAACAAATAAATAACATTAATATACAAAATGAATTTCCTCGATTATTTACCAAAGAATTGGGATGCTTGAAAGATTTTAAGGCATAAATATTTTAAAAAAATGAGAAACCAAATTTCTGTAAATCACGTTCCCTAACATAATAATTGAAAGAAAAAGTTAAAGAGAATTTAGACAGATTGTTAAAAATAGGAATAAAAAACAATAATCAATCACTCTATGCATCACCTATACTTGTACAAAAGAAAGATAAAACATTACGAATTTGCTGGGATTTTAAAAGAACAATAAATCAAAATATTAATAATTCATACCATAACCAAGAATCCATGTTTTATTTGCCAGTTTGGAAAAAGGAGAGGAATTTTTAATATTGAATATCTCAGATGCCCAGGGTCCAAATGATAGGATTTTTATTCGATACAACCCTCCTCAAATGACTATACTTACCCCCCCCCCCCTCAAAAATTTACCGCCTTTAGCGGAGATATTCCTATATCATTAATTACAACTTTTTTATTATAATGGTACTCCCTTCGTAAATTTTAAAAGAATAACTTAAATAATTAATGCTCTACTATCAACTATCAAAATATCATGAATGTAAAAGAGTTATTTTTAGAACTTGAATTCAATTAAAAACTTCCTAATTAACAATGAATGCAATATTATAGTGTACTGATTGGCAAGAATATGAGTTTACTGAGAGAATGCCTACCCACTTTTAAATTATACATTTAACAGAAATAGTTTCTTATTTGGGAGATGTATAGCATTATAATTGTATTAATATACGTCTATAATAAAAGTATTAATAATTTATATAGCAATACGTTTGCCTTATTTCATCTAAAATTTTATCCTACCAAATTTAATATGTATGCTTAGTCTAGGGAAATTTATTTTTGAAGAAAAACTCGTACACATTTAGAGACAAAGTTTGAATATAGTTGATTTTTAAAATCAAACTAAAATTAATTATTTTAATGAATCATTTTCTCTCTTTTATCATATATAAAAATTTAGAAGCTAGTAAGCAATAGAAAGATATCATTTATTCAGAAATTATTTGGGGATTACACCAAAAAATAAATACAATTATTTATAAGACAAGGATTAAGTTAAAAAGGTCTAATTTAAAACTTACATTATAAATTTAGTTTCAGGAAGCCTGTTTTTTATACCTTTCTCTTTATAAACAAAAATAATGTTTTTTATTAATCTACTTTATAAGCTATAACTTTCCATATGACGATCATACATTCATAAAATATTTTATAAATTTATAGACACATCGACATATCTTTAAAAATTGGGGACCATATTAAGTAAATTCATAATGAAATAAATGTTAAATATTTTAGAAGCTTACAAAATATAATGGATAAAATTTATTGCTTAAATTTATTACCTATTTATTACTTTATATTTTAAGGCATTTCCCACTTGGAACCTCTTGGATTCTAAGACTTTTATGTAAATCAACTAAAACTCATTATTCTTCAAACATTAATTTGCATGATGGGGTTTTAGAGGGCTCAATTAAATACAATGCAAACTCTCACAAAAATGCTCATAAACGTTCATTATCAGCTGATGACAATAAAAATGAAGAAGAATCATACAATAATGTTAAATATGAGCGTAAATCCTCTCCTACAAGTAATATCACTATTCCTCAGAGCAATGATGTCATAGTTCATAAATATTGCCCAATATTTATACTTTGCCTTACTTTCTTTATATACACTGCCTTCCATGCATCCCGCCGACCTATAAGTGTAGTAAAATCAGCTTTGCATCATCCTGCCAATTGTTCAAATTATATAAATATTGTTACACCATCTCATCCAACCAAATTTCACTTAAGGAGTCCTTATTATTTTGATACTCACGATATATATTTACCTCCAAATAATTCTCTAAGTTCTCATTGTGATGATTGGGCCCCATTTGATGGTCCAAATTACAACGAGATGTTTGGTGCACTTGACATGGCCTACCTGTTCAGTTATGCCTTGGCTATGTTTGTATCAGGTCATTTAGCTGAACATTTACCATTGCGGCATTTTTTAGTATGTGGTATGATTGGTAGTGGGGCTCTTACAGCTCTATTTGGAGCTGGTTATTTTTTGAACATTCATTCAGCTGCTTACTACTTTGTTGTACAAGTAATTGGTGAGTATTACTACATATAATGTATATCATAAATTAAAAGTTTGCAATTAGATTAAGCTCTTTATTAATTTTTTTTAGAAATTAGAGCCAGTTTCTGAAAAGCAGCATATATCAAAAAATATATTAAAACATATTCAGTTAGGGTTGGCATTTTCAGGCTATTTTTGCAGACTTCTATTCATAGCTTATTTTATATTGGATTATCTAAATCTTCTATAAAAAGAAAACTTCAAAAATAATTCTTTATTTTTTTTAAATTAGATCATAATAAAATGAAGTAAGTTGGTTTTGGATATAGGATAAATTATTTATTCATGATCACTAAAATTATAAAAGAAATAAAACTAATGTCTAATTTAAGGAAAAAACCAGGGGGTGGGGCATCACAAATTTGCTAGTTCTCATAAATATCATTTGAAGCTTAAAAATTTCTCGCATGCACACCCCCATATGACCCAAAATTCTATACAATATATTACTATAAAGAAAAATTTATAGTAAAGGTTAATAACTTTTTAAAATAATGAATAATTCAAAATTTTTTGGGGAAAAAAATTTATAATAAGAAAATTAAGTGAAGATCCAAAATTATTTTTATAAAAATATTATATATCCAAAGGCTTACAATAATTGAGCCTAAAAACCTCTAATATAATATATGGTAAAAAACTCCATCTAATAGTGTCCTCCTCCTTATAGGAAACTGGATATGCCATATCTATAGCTTAATCATCTTAATATCAAATAAAAAAAAATTAAATTAGCATTAATAAATTTTCTTTTTTTTAAAAAAAGAAAAATTTCACATTTATTATTCAATAAAGAATGAAAACAATAGATTTCTTTAAAAAATAAAAATATAATGATTCAAATTAATTTTGCTCTTAAATCTTAATAGATAATAATTTTAAGCTATATGGTTTATTATAACCAACAACCAATTCTTTCTGAAGGCTGTTATTTATTTTTTGACACTTTACATTAAAAGATAAACAAAAAAAACATATTCCTTTTTTTAAAAATAACGTCATTCTTATTCTTATGATATGCCTTATTTTCCTAATTACCTAATGTAAATCACGTCTTTTCTATGATCAAATAATTGGCCAAGTCGATAAAATGGAACACCTTTTTTTTTATGAAGTGATCTAATAAATCCTATAATAACATTTTAAAAAACTCACTTTTCATTGTATTATATCACTTCTAAATTCCTTCCTGTTCACCCCCCCCCCTTATTTTTCGGGATTTAATGGTTACCCTTATTTGGCATTTATATATATATATTCAAGATGAATTATAATTAGCATTCATTCATTCTTATGCATTATATATATATTTTTTTAAAGGTGGCGCTTTTCAATCCTCGGGATGGCCCTGTGTTGTTACCTGCATGGGTTCTTGGTTCGGAAAACGTAAAAAGGGCTTGATATTTGGTATTTGGAACTCGCACACCTCGGTGGGAAATATAATAGGTGGCCTTATAGCTGCTCTTTGGGTTAACGGACCTTGGGGTTGGTCTTTCGTGGTTCCAGGCCTGATCCTAATATTCATGGCCTTACCGGTAGCCCTATTTCTGGTGCCGTCGCCGGAAGAGTTCGAAGAGTGCTACGCCGGGTTAGCTCTCACTGCCGGAAGAAAAAAGACCAAAAGAGGTGAGAATTATTTTGGTATGCATTTTTTTGGGAGGGGATATTGTGAGTTAGGCCTTATTTATAGTAAACGCCTATACGTTCCAGCGGCTTATTTAACGCAGCGTTATTTACAAATCAAGATAATAAAAACGTTATGATGTTAACGCTATGATAAAATTAAAAACATATTGCGACGTACATTTCAAACATTATTAACTGTGATTTCTAAAGCCTTAAATAGGCAACGCTTAAATATACGTTTACTATAAATATCACTTTAGGGATTATTATAATCTAAGACTGAATTCACAATGGATCAGATGCCCCGCGTTTTGGTAGCTTTATCGGGTTTATAAAATCTTTTAATACTAGATCTATCATCCTACCTGGATTTATCTACCGTATAAAAGATTTTATGAACTCGATCAGCTGTTAATACGTGACTTATGAATATATATATTGTAATGAGTATAATAATTACGAGAGAGATTACGAAGAAATGTGTAATAATTATGATAATGAACTTATGGCGAACGAAATTATTATTATTTTTTATAACTTGAATAATAGATGTTTAAAATCGAAATTTGAATTTTAGAATAAAATGACCGATCTTAATACTCTATTCGAGATTTAAGTACGACTTAAAATTTAATATCGATTGCGGAAGATATCTTTTTATGTAAAATAGTGAAATATTGATACTTATCTTTTCAGAAAAGGCCATTTGCAGGAGAATAGTTATTCTTTATTAGTTACAATTTTTATTAATAATTATTCATATGTTCCTTTGGGAGGGGGGGGGGAGCTAAACCCCAAGTTTTTACATAATGCTTTGTCTTCGTCGAGTTTAGCTTTTTTTAAAATTTATAAAAAAAAGACGCCGAATCACTGATCACCGATCATAAGCAGAAGAAATCTGATTCCCTCGAAAGGGGCCTACCGTCTACCTCCTCATTCGAAAATAGTTGCAGTCAAAATTACTACGACTCCAAACTCGTCGATGAAAGATCTCATCTGTTGTCTGCCAATTCTCAGTTAAAATATTTAATTTTATTTTTCTCTCTCATAATTTTTTTTAAAAATATCAAATTTATTGAAGTAGTGTCGAAAAACGGGATCAGATTTAAAAGCGGAAACCGTAAGTAGAAGCGGAAATACACATCTTCCTTCTAAAAAAACTCTGAGCTCGGTAATTTTGTAGTCTGCCTCGAATGGAGTCACTTTATCGTCAACTGCTTTGTAGAGGAATAATAATAATAAAACGGGAAGGGGAAGAAAATAATATATCGAGAAAGAGGAGGAAAGGAAAGGAAAGAGAACGTGATTATCATAACGTTTGTTTTTGGAATTCCAGTTCATTTAAATAATTAGCATAATTTATTCTTTAAAATATTTGCATTTTGTTTCGCTAAGAGGGGGAGGGGGTATAAATCTCACCTCTCGAAAGCTAGCGCGAAAAGCGAACAAATTTTAAAACGGAAATTTAATTAAGCGAGTTTTGTGAAGTATGGAGAAGGAAGAAAGGAAAGAAGGAATGGAAGAAAGAAAGAAAATTTTATACGGAATTACGGCAAGCTTTCCGATATTCATAATAGCTTAATAAATTAAGGTCAACAAAAAAATTTTGCTGATTGTACCAGCTAAAAAAAATGGTTAATGTAAGGTGTTACCTATCAAATTTGTATTTTGTTTATTTTTCATTTGGATATAATATATATTTGAAAATCGTGATTTTTAGAATGCTTCTGTGGCCTAGTCGGCTAGAGCGTCGTTTACCAATTCGATGGTCATGGTTCGAATCCCGGCAATGATCATGTTTTTTTTTCTTAATCTAACTTGGTGGTTCCGTCCTTTGGGGGATGATATATAGGTGGCCGGACTCGACCACGTGATTCCGCTATAAAAAATTAAATAATATGGGTCTTATTATATTTTAATTAATTTTGATCGGTATTTAGCAAATTTGGTTATTTAGAAAATTGCTATACGTTGACTTGGTAGTAAGCATCATTAACCAAAAAAAATCGAGATTCATTTACTTACATTTCTTATAATTGAATTCTTTTTTAACTCATCATGAATATTCATTTATTTTATTTACACAAAATATAGATCGGACGATATCGTTCCTTTACTTGGCTCTTCGCCCCCTCCTTTAAAATCCACCCGAAAAAAACCCATCGGTATACGCAAGGCCTTGAGAGTACCCGGCGTTCTTGAATTTTCGTTGTGTCTATTTTTCGCCAAAGCCGTAAGTTACACGTTCTTGTTCTGGCTTCCGAACTATATAAGCGCCTCATCGTCTCTCGACCCCGGAAAAGCGGCCATTTTAGCTTCCATCTTTGATTTCGGCGGTATTTTAGGTGGGATAGTGGCGGGTAAACGCGAATTTTTCGATAATTTAGATTATTATTGTTCTACGATCAAAAAGAAGATTATTGTCGTGATGATTCTTTATTTTTATAAATTTTTAAAAAATATTAACGTGAAAGAAGAACGAATGAAAGAGATTTAAATAGCTTTTAAATTAATATTTTGCAATTTTCACTTATTCTTTAACGAGAATAGAACAAACGTAGCCGCCTCGTAAATTTACGGTATTTCTTTCCTTTGACGTTATCTGAGATTCTTATTTTTTTTGATCCTTTTTTTGAACATTTCCGTGAATCCACGTGGATCTAATGATTATTAAAAGAATAATTGTTCTACCTATGCAAATTTTTAGCAATAAGAAAAAGTTAAATGCAAATATTGTTATCAAAAAATGTGTGATTACTATTTATCAGTTATTATCTTTAGAATACTAAGTCCTGCTAACGCGCTATGCACGTGACATATTTTAAATTAGTATATAAAATGTTTTTGATTTTAAAAGGGTATATATCAGATCGGACCGAGGCGAGTGCTACAGTGTGCGCATTTATGTTGGCTCTATCCTGCCCCCTCATATACTACTACCACGCCTATGGACACGTTAATTACGCTACCAATATATGCCTCTTGTTCATAAGTTTTTAATATATATATATATAAAACTGTAGAAAAGATCAAAATTCTTTATATATTTTTTTTTCCCTCGTGAAGAAAGAAAGAAAGACAGAAAGAATTTTAGGACTTCTACATTATTATGTGATTTTAATATTATGGAATTTCTTTTTAAAACAAATTTAAAATAATTAATTTTGTTAATTATATTAATTATGATATTTTTGAAATAATAATATTTCAATGAATACCTTGTTACCAAATTGTCAAAAATTTTAAAGATAATGATTTAGAGATGTTGTAATAATTGATCTTATATAAAGATTAATTAAAAATTGGATTATTATTAAAAGTGAAAAATTAGATATTATTTTAGGAACGCGTTCCGAAACGTGGAATGGAACGTGAGCATGGCATATTTTTTTTCAATAGAATATATCAGGGGAAAATAAGCCCTTTTCCGGGCCTCTGGTTGTAAGCTTAAATTCCCTAACTATGACCTTTATTTCGATTTGGATAATTATCTCTTTTTTCACCAATCAATCCTTTTTTTTACCTTTAAAAATATAAGCTGGTCATTTCGTTAACGGACCATACGCTCTTATAACGACTGCGGTCTCGGCAGAACTCGGAAACAAAATTGGGCATAGTCAGCACGCCAAGGCGCTCGCCACCATTACGGCTATAATCGACGGTTCGGGCTCCTTAGGTTATTATTTATTCTTTTTAAAATTAAAAAAAATATTATTAGTTTATACTTCATTTCGCGAGGGTCCTTTTTTCGGGGTGAATATCATTAGCGTAAATTTAAAATGGAATATGACATCCCATTACAAAATTAGGGTCACACCCTTCTAGCCCATCATCACTTCGCTCATCTGGCCCCATACCTCACATAAATTTATCTCGAAATAGGTGCTTTCACCAGAAGCTTTGACTAAAAAAAGGTTTTCTAGTCCAAATATTTTTTAAAAAGTGTCACCGGTTCTAATTCCTAAAATTGTGAAAAGTTAATTCCGGTTCTTAAATTTGGCGCGGTTCCAGGTTTTAGTTTCCATTTCCAAATTCTGGTTTTCACATGAATGTGTTCTTTGAAAAGGTGGGCTGCCATTTTGTATACAATTACGGATAGCGCAGCCTCCCATTTTTATATATGTTAGACACGTGACATATTTACGATGCTAATGATCTAGGCATCATTAAAAAAAACGCCATTTTTTTGCACAATGATTCGTCTTGTATAATATAGCATATAAATGAAAGAAAGAAAAAGTAATAACAAAAAAAGAAAGTTCTACACTTTCGAAATAGTGAATTGGAACCGTTCATCTCATTCCAGTCTTTTTATTTTTTTTAGGATACAATAATTCTAATATTATTTAAATATAAACGCAATTAAATAAAATCTAAACTTCGATCATTATTTAAAAACAAGTAGTAGATATCTTAAAAAGTTATAATAAATATATATAATATTAAAAATGAATGTAATTTTTAGTTTTTATTTGAAATTTTTTTTTATGAATACTCCATACTAGAATAAAAAGAACTTTGCAAAATTAAAAAAAATCAGTGATTTGTAGCATATAATTATAGCAAAATATTTTTTATAATTTGAATTCATTATTTTTTTCTAGTTTTTTTTTAAACCTATTTTTTCATGTTCATCTTATTATTCTATAATATCCATTAATAATGCTTTTCACTTCTGTATCCATTAAAACTTTTTAAATATTGAGGAAATTCCTTAGAGAAATATTTAATTTAAACATTTTTTTTCTCCATTTTTATTAGAGTAATTAAATTATTTTAAAGATATAAGGTAAATTTCCCTATTAAATATATCGTCGCCTGGAGAATTAGATAATTACATCTACACTTTTTGTAATTTTGGCAGGAGAAACAATTTAAAAAAAATAAGTTTTTTTTATTATTGTTTTCTATAGGATATTTAACGTTATATTGGCTATGATATAACTTATTTTATATTTATTTCGAATTTTTTTCATTTAATAGAAAAGTATAATAATTTAAAAAAAAAACGATTTATCTTAAAATAAAAGTAGTTTTTAACAAAAAGTGGATATAGAATAATCTAATTCTCAGGCGATAGTTTATATAATTAAACAAATCGATCTTTTTTAAGTCTAAGAGCGGACGCATCCTTGGTACACATTATGAAGGACGCGAGGATTTTCAAGGAAAGACTCTTCCCATTCACTACTATCGAGAGTTTTAAACTTTTTTTTATAAGAGTAATAGCTTTATATAAATTTCATTTATTATGGTAAAGTTATTAAAATTGATCTTCGATTTTTAGATTTAAAGAGTTAAGTCATACTATATTATATTAACCAGTGTTCGAAATGCTCTTCAAAATAAAAAAAACTTCAAAGATTTTTACTGAAGATTTTTGGTCAAAATTTTACCTATAAAATCCCAAATATTTTGTGATTTTTACGCATAAGAATGTTACTTACATGATTGAAATCACAAATTTTTGGCAAAAAAATTTCTTTAAAAATTCTTCAAACTCTAATATTAACAACCTATTATCATACTATTTCTTTTTAAAATTGTCAGGTGATTAATTACATTTTACGATGATTTATTTTAATCATTACAATACTCATAAAAATAAAAAGGTGCCGCCATAGGTCCACTTATAGCGGGTCTAGTCGCTACTAAAGGTTGGTGGAACGTTTTCGCGATGTTGATCATTTCCGACATTTTTGCTATTCTCTTCCTCATCCGTCTTTCTTACCGCGAAATTAAATTGGTTTATCAAATCAAAAAGGAGCGAATCATTTGAATAACAAATTTCTTTTTTTTTTATTCGAGGCATTATTATTATATAAAATATTTACATGATTATATTTATAAAATTACTTAATTTTTAAGCACACTTTATTTTAAAATGTATAACAAACATTGTACATCCCAAAAATACGTCGTAAAAAATCTTTAAATGACAGTCATCTCTAATATAACTTAGGAAATAACGGGGTTAATATATCAAATTTTAATATATACTCTATTCTATTCTATATAATTATAATGTTATATACACTTTACCCGTTTTCTGTAAGATATAATATTTTTTGTCACCTGACATATATTAGGTAATTTTGTGTTTGTGAATATTTTTACTATGTTAATGACAAATGACACGCATGTGACTAATTTTTTTTTAATTTTTACCTTAATATAGATAATTTATTCGATTAATTATAAAAAAAAATATATCATATAGTTTTTAAAAAACAAAATATTAAATATAAATTCAACACTCCTTTTTTTATGGGGGATTTGTTATTTTGTGATTTTAATTTTTTATGTATTATAACCATTCATCCCAATCTATTTGACTCAGTATCGAGCATATTTATCGGCCGATATGGGGGGCTCGTGATAATTATTACTTCGATTACTTAATAAAAGAAAATGTTGCTTGTTGCTTGCCATATTATTTATTGTGCGTTTATCTATTTTTAAAGTATATAAGTTTAGCTATATAACGCTTATCGTCCAACCCTGGACCCTCCCTGCGGGGTATCTTAGGGATTGTCTAAGGGTAACACAAAATAAGAAGCGGCAAATGTAATTTTTGTATATAAAATGGAGACTGACATGAAACATGTTTTAAGTTTATAAGGTGCATCCTTTATTGAGATTTTTTTTGGCAAATTAAATTTTTTTTCTAAAGGCAACAAATATTTTAGGAACAATCACTTCGAAGAAAGAAAGAAAACGGTAAAACATTTTAAAGGTGCATATTTGTATATTAGAGATTGATAAACGATTACTAAAATGTTTAATTGACGTTTTCACTAGTTATATTTTATAAGAAAAATTTAGCAAGATTTGTTTTGATTTTTTCTTCAAAATTTATTTTTATTTTAAATACGTATTTTTTTTAGCCAATTGTTTAAAAAAATGTATAGAGGTCTGCAAAGCCCGGTCCGAACGGGCTATCAAAAAAAAATTGTCCAGAAAGGTTGAACAAATTTATTTAATTTTCTAAAAATGCGGATATTTTAATTTTGGGATGAATTAAATTTAAAAAAATCTGATCGGTCGCCAGACACCTTTCTTTAAAAAAAAAATTTGAACTGGGTCTGGCTTCAAAAAATTATGCCCGATTTCCCAAGTAATAATGGTTGGCGAAAGCTGAGTTAAAAGAAATTTACTTATGTTTCGGTGAGACCTATTCGTGCTTGAGTCTATTCTAATATATGTTAATGATTTATTATAATATACTCTTCTTCTCCGTTAAATGGCGATTTTCGGGTTGGCCAGTTTTCCCTCTGATTTAGTCATTAGGAAATTTTGTAGCAAGGTTTTTACAATCGGATGCCCTTCCTGACATCAACCCCTTTAGGTGGTTTTTTTTACACCCCGTCGAGGAGACAGTGATCCTATTCTAGACTCAGACCACAGGGAACCTTTTAGACCTCCATTAGCCGCCAAATGACGTTGCCACTCCCCCGACACGATGAGGGTAAAGGTAGGATTTTGGGGGATTTATTATAATAATAATATAATAAAATATCACTAATATATATCTCGAGACGTCTTGAGCCACATTTTTTAAAATTGTTCGGGATAGACAAAAAAAATTTATTTTTATTTTCAGCTTAAAAATTTAATAAGATAAAAAAAAATGTTTTATAAGTTTTTAATAGTGCATCCAAATTTAACGTTTGCATTACTTCCAAATTAAAGCGTATTTTAAATTTTTTTAGATTTATTTTAAATTTAGGAGTTTAAAGAAACAATGTGTTTTCCAACTTTACTTTATTACGAAATAAAAAAAATTACTTTTATATTTAACCCTTTCAGCCTGACCACCACTTTTTTTAAAATTAATTACTCTGCATTCACAGTTATCGCGAATTCGCAGCGATGTATACATTCGCCGCAAACTCGTGCTTACTATGATGCAGGGTAATGTATTGAGAGTCCAAGCGTAGCTCGACCATATAGCGAAAAGATTGACTGCGCTTACTATGACGTAAAAGTAAATATTTCATTTCTTTTGATTTTTATATAAGTCATACGGAAATCTTGTCCGCGTAGAAAATCTGTTTAGGTTAAGATAAAAAAAAAGCCGGCCTGGCTTTCGGTTCGTAAAAAATTATAGCTGTTTAGTTTAAATCTTTAAAAACTGGTTGAACTTTTTTGCGTAAAAACATAACTCTACATTATAGCGAAAATATTTTATTTTTTTAAATATTAAATTTCTATTAACAAAAGTTAATATAAATTTAATAGTTTATAATTATAAATCAGTTTAATAAATATTCTTCATATTTATTTTTAAAGGGCAAAAAAAAAAATCATTAAAATTTCAAAAAAAGAAGAAAATAAACTGATGATAAGATTTTACAAAAATTAATTAATTCTTTTTTATATAGATATAAAAAAAAATTGTTTGATATTATATATTGGCCGAAAATTATAATAATATAGTTCATTTTATAACATAAAACATATATTAAACATTTTTTATTTATGCGATATATGTATAGTTAGTCATTTATATAATCTCGGCTAATGAATTACGCGTAGCCCATTCCCTTTCCCGTTTGACATCATATCTATTAGAAGAGCAAGAAGTGCATGGTATGCTTGCAGGCTTGTATTTATTACAAAAATGATTAATTAATTCATGGTTTGAATTTAAGAATCTGAGCAGATCTTGATTATTCCATGCTCTACTAGAATAATAAAATGGTTGATTATTATTGGCGCCATGGATATTTTTTGAAGATTGCATGGAATGAGTCCTATAAATTGGTTGATTGTAATAGTAGCCATGGATATTTTTTGAAAATTGTATAAAGATAATGAGTAATATCCAAAAAGCCAAAAAATGTTTCATGATTTTCTTCTTAAATTCCTTTGAAAAAGGGAGAGAAAAAGGAAAATAAATAAATTATTACAATGATTTTTTGAAAAGTGTTAAAAAATAATTCAAATTTTAAAATACTTATGGTTTGACTGTTAACTTATATATATATATAATATCTCAATATAAGCAAACTAGGTAATTAACTTGTGTCTGTCGGTGTAAAATAATAGACATAGAAACCTTATTTTATAACTCATTATAAGTTAGGAAGGGAGAGGGGTCTAGACAAAATATTAATCTAATTTATTTTTTAAATGTATAAATTTTTAAGAAAGTTATAAATTTCCAAAAATTATGCAAAAAAATGTACCTTGCCAAACTAATCCATACACTCTTATTACAAAGAACTAATTTTTATTATATATATAAAAAAAAGAAGATATTTGAACAATAAATATTAGAGGTGTTTTTTTTTATAAAATAAAATTACCAAAATTTCTAAGAATCATTTTATGTGTAAATAGCCGCGTTTTAGTTTTAATTTTGGGGGTCCAATTATATTATAATTATATATTTCAAACTTTTTATGTCATTTAAATAGATTGATGTATTTTAGTTATTATATTCGCATTAAAAAAACCTTTAAATATTGATGAAATAAACTTTAAAAAAGTAGTATATAATTTTGACCAGGAATTTCACGTGATATAAACTATTGTTGAGACAAAATCACAACTACATGATTTGGAGCTTTATAAGCCTAGACTCATCTCAAGCTTTAACCCAAATCAATGAACGATTTGTAATTTATCATATGACTCCATCCAATTTACAAATATAATTGCTTTGCAACTCGTTTGAAGATCTAATATTGACTCTCGATATAGAAAAAATTGCACATCTTGCCCAATTTTAACCAGAAGATATTAAAAATCGGAAGATCCAATTAATATTAGAATTTAAATCTTGGTATAAAAGATTAATTTTACTAGATTTTCTTTGAAATGCCATATGCAAGCATTTATACTATAAAATAAATAAGTTTTTAAATAAATATATTTCAATTACGGTATATTTTGGATAAACAAAAGCAGAAATGAGAAATTTTTTTCTCTTCATTATGGCGAAAATAAAAACTTATCTCAAGAATATGCGACAGAAAATTCATTGGATGCTTCTTTTAGCAAAATTCCGAGCTTTAAGTCTTAGGTAATGATTTGCTTGGCTAAAATTTTGAATCTAGGTTTACAACATTGTTCTACAAAAATATTTTAATGTTTCGAAAAAGATCGTTTCAATTATTAAAAAATAAATTGTCTCCACTTCCCTTTATAGAAAATTTCTAGTTATGCACCTGAATCTAATCGTTTTGCGTAACCCCGATATTTATTCGAAAATATATAACATTTTGGTGGTGTCCTATTTTCGAACCATCGAAAATTTTCTCCTTACTGCCTTCCGTTCCCTAACGCTATTGGCCAAGTTCCTATACAAGATACTCCCTATGGGGGGAAACCTTCTCTCCCTACTCATTTGTTTGGCATTTATCAATTTTTTACTATATAAAAAAAATGCATATAGTATATTGGAAACAATACAGGGGAACGCTATGTCCACTTCAATTATAATTTAGCTATTATTTTATAAGACTAAAAATTTTAACCCAACATAGATAATTACCTCCTACATGATTGGCCAAAAAAAGGATTTAAAGAATATTTAATTTTTATAGAAGAAAATGTATTTAGCATACCAAAAGTAATAAAAAATAATTGTAAACTTTATCGTTTATAATTATAAATAAAACTTTTAAAATCTTAATAAATAAATTTTAGGAAAGTCAAAACCCTATTTTTTAATCTGACGAATTTTCGGAATCAATAAACAGGAATTATGAATGATATTTGTAAAATTGGTGGACTGTCATATTATAGTTGGGAACGTCATTTTGACTCATTTTACCGATATGCTAAATTACAATAAAAAGGATAGGAACATCTTCTGTATAGAATCCTTAAATTAATATCCGAAAATCTCATATATATCATTACTTACAGTTAAAATTATTTATATATAATTATATATTTGTTTTAGGCACTCCAAAATTAATACTCATTTGTTATGTATTACAGTATTATCAAAAAATCAAATGCGTCATAGTCTCTTTATCTTACTGAAATATCTATTTTAAATTTATTTATCAATTTAGAACTTTATTCTATGAGAGGACCAACACTCACATATGTGTGTTCCAATTTACCCAGAGTATATCGGTATATATTAGATATAACATAGTCAACATATAGCAATAAGTAAACAACGACCTATTAATTTTTTTAATATTGGAATTATGTGGCCGAGTTCGATCTACCATATATCATCCCCCAAGTATCGAACCACCAAGTTGGCTTCAGAAACCATGAACGGAATTCGAACCCAGAACTTTCTGGATTGAGATTAACGCACTCATCTAACTAGGCCAGAGGGTCTGTTCGAAATGACTATTTTTTATATATAAATATTATAAATAAACAAGTGTTAACTTTCTCCTATCAAATTAGGTTTGTTCAATATCACACCATGTTATAACTAACATTAACCGAGTATGTCATAGT